CACACACACACACACACACACACACACACACACACACACACACACACACACACACACAAAATACAGCTCAACCTCTCTCTCTCCCTACTACTATCGTGTTCTTCTATCTATGCCTTGGACCGCTCTCCTGCCTCCCTTAATACACCCTCGCTACCCCGCTACTGGGCAACTTCGCCCTCAACTTCCACCCTGCAGCTATGGCCGCCTTCATCTTCCTCCTGCACCCTAGCTATGGCGTTTCTCCTTCGCCCTCCTTCTACGTCTACACCTGACTGTCCAACTCGAAGTCGCAGGAGAGATACAGCAGAGCTTCCACAACATGTGAATTGACAAGTGACCCGCTGCTTGCACTGTAGCAACTATAAATAGCCGCTGACGTGAATCAATGTCGTCTGTGGACCGGTAGCAGTCGATGCGGCCTGTCAACTGCAGTTTGCCAGTTCTGGAAGCTACCGGACTTTCCGAGGATGCTGCTGAAAATTGGACTTTGGGATGGCAGAGATTCCTTGTCAGGTACTGGCTTGCGACTTCTAACTACGGACCCTGCGACGCTTCAAGACCTAGGATCTACCGGACTCCTAGGGCCTATTCTAGAACCCACCAGGATCAACTAGCACTGGACCCAGGTGGGACCGATGGGACAGGGACTTGGAACTCTGGGACCGAGACTCGGGACACACAGACAGCGTGAAATCCTTTCATCATCAGCACGACTTCTCTGCAAGCTAAGTTCTGGAAACTTCAGGCCGGGACAGAAATGTCTGCCAGCATTCTATTTGGATGTCGAAACTCGAAAACCGTCCATGACCGTAGTTATCTTTATGTTTGGTTGTTCTCTGTGGTACTGTGGCACTTGTGCTTTTTCATCTATTTGCTCAATCTGCTTTTTCCACTGAGCTTACTCATGGCTGGTCTTCAGTGAGCCTTGAGGGGACAACCAATGCCATCATCCCATTCTATAAGATGCTCATAGGGAAGGATGACAGCCGTCAGCCCCCCTCAGTTCGGGACTTGTAAATGAATCACAAGTGGGTCTGCAAGTTGGCTGCTGCTCCTCAGTATAGAATGGGGACCCGTGACCATAAGGTCATTCATTTCTTTTTTTTTCAAAGGAAAAAGGAAAAGAGATTAGCACGACGCGGCGCACTTGCCGCACTCTCTTTACTGGAGAAAAGAACAGTTATCGCCGGCATTCCTGTGGCGGTCACAAGGGTTGTTTGAGTCTGGCTTCACACGCAGCTTCGGCTGACTGAGTGGCCTCGACAACAAGCTCAATGACCGAGTCGAAAAGAGGAGGGGATGAAGGAAGATGGTAAAGAGTACGGAGGAAGAAGCAGAAAAAAAGACGGGAGAGGGAGGAGAGATGGTGTAAGAGGGTAGCGAAAGAGGGAGGGAGGACGTGGAAGGAGGGAAGTGGAGGGGGAAAAAGAAGGGGAGGACTGCAGTGTCTCATGGCAAATGCCACAATATTCCCCTATGAATGATTTGTCATGAGCGGATCCTTGCCGGGTCGATTGAACTTGCTTCTTTTTCTTTTCTTTTCTTTTCTTTTCTTTTCTTTTCTTTTCTTTTCTTTTCTTTTCTTTTCTTTTCCTTTCGAAGGGGCACTGGCCTTCGTTTTTTTTTTTTTTCTTCCACTTTTCCTCCTGTCCCTTTTTTTTCGAAAAAGGGCAACGGCCTTGGGATATCTTCATTGTTTGGACCAGACCTAGGTAATTCAGGATGGTTTATTCGATTCATCCACGTCCAGCAGGATTTGAACATGGGTCTGTATTTCAACGGTTCATGGGTGTAGCAAATGAGCTGGGCTCGTTGGTCTTGAGATATTATCCGAGAGAGAGAGAGAGAGAGAGAGAGAGAGAGAGAGAGAGAGAGAGAGAGAGAGAGAGAGAGAGAGAGAATTTGTGTATTCCATTCATTTGGTGGCATCTGGACTCGAATTCCAGTCTGTATTTCAACAGTTCATGGGTGTGCCAACTGAGCTATGGACAGTCGGGGACTTATCTCTTGCTTTTATTTAGTCGTTAATAAATTAATAATCCCTTTGTTTCATCTTTGTTCTTTTTCCCCTCTTAAAGCTGATTGCAACCACCTTTTTTTTCTATTGAAGTCGATTCTTACTAAATGCCTTGTTTCATCTTTTTTCCTTTTCCCCATTCTTAAAGCTGATTGCAAGCGCCCTTTTTCTATTGAAGTCGATTCTGACCAAATACGTCTATCCTGCTCCCACTTCTGTTTCTGCTTCTGCAGGACCAATGCATGGCAATTTTACTGGAGATTGGAGAAAGAGAGAGTGGGGATATTGGTAACCCCTGCTTGCAACGGGTGTGCTTGATGCTTGCCGCCATCATCGAAAGGACGCTGTACCTGGAAGCGTGTGCGGTAAAAGCTTATGGAATTGTGCCATCACCGATGAGGACTCACAGCTTTGAGAAGTATTACTCGCAATTGCGGCCGCGTAAGTGCAAGCCCCCTGCCCTTCTGTTTACCCAGTGTGTGTTTCACTTTGGGGAAGTAGCTGCTGGGGGAGAAAAGAAAAATGGAGGTGAAGATGGGGGCAGGCCGAGACAAATTGAATATAAGAAAAGGCCTTTTTAATGAACTTCTCACCCATACATAGAGGGCTTGTTGGGAAGGACCTGAAAATAAGGGGTCCCCGTTAACCATTAATGGACAGCATGACAGCCAAGGTGTCAATTCCGACGGTTCTCTCGCTTTTGCTGGGATAGAGGGCTTGCCAAAGAGCTTTTCTCAAAATAATTAAAAAATAAAAAAGAATGGAGGTCAAACCGGACTGACGGCCCCCCAAATAGAAGGGGCTTCACGTGTTTAAAAAAAAAAAAGAAAAAAAAAAAGAGAGAGGAATACCCATAATGACCCCCCTTTGGAAGTGACGACTGCTAATTGCACTAGAAGTATAGTAGAATACTGCTTTTTTTATTTTTTTTTGACTTTTTTTTTTAAGTGTTTTCCCTTTTTCACTCTCACCCTCATCAGTTTGTTTAACTTTGTCAACACACCATTTTTTCTGTCCTATTAAACCACCTGTACTTCCACGTTCTTAGGCCGTTAATGCGGTGGCTGAATCGGCCTGCCGGGAGGGGCTATATTCATTCGAGGCAGAGGGGGCCTAAGAATGCGGTAGGTACTGGTGGTTTAAACTACCAGTACTTCCGAGACACTTTTTTTCCCGAGCCCGGAAACACGCTGCGCACCAAAAGAAAAGGAAATGGCACAGGCCTCCTTTTGGCTGGTGCCACCAGCCTTTTTCTCCGGCAGCGGAGCCCCAAAAGTTGTGGCAGCATGCAAGACGCGACTTCAAAACAATGGCTGGGAAACGTATTGGTGGCTTAGATCACCACTGCCTTTGAGGGCCTTGGCCTCCTGGACCTCTTTGGCTGGCGGCAGCAGCCAAAATTGGGAAAAAAAAAAAAAAAAAAAAAAACATGTGCCATGCCAGTTTGTTTGGAATCTGGCGCAAAGCACAAATCTGCCACAGGAGAAAAAAGCAATCGGACTCATCTTCTCCTTCACTTGACATGCATGAAAACAGATGGCAGTCACATTGGCGCCAGGCGCCCACACAAAGCTCAGAGATATCAAGGCCGAGAACACAGTTTAGATTCAAACTTGCTTCGAATGGCTATGGCGCCTGTGCGCCCTCACAACACCCCTCCGCCACTGTATCCCCAGCAACTGTTCGCACACACGCCACTCTGGATCTCCCTGGATGTCCCCCCAACACACACACCTCACAGAACACTCACACACATACACGCTATTGCAACGACTTGCTGTAATCTGGTCGTCTGTAGGCTCTCTCTGTCGAGGCTGTACTATGGTTAGGACAGATTCGTAATTTTGTTTGGCCGAGGGCTAACCGAGAGACCTGCCTGTACGGAAATCCGGTAGGGACATATCTGCAAATTTGTGAAAATATAGGCCCGTACTAACTGGAGTTCCTACAGCTACCCTAACTGCGAATAGCAGGCCTGGGCTACCCCTAGGACAGACAGGCCCTAAGGGCCTAAGCTGATAGACGGTCCTATAGCCTATAGCCGGGTAGGGAGAGGCCCTAAAGGCCGAAACAGAAAAGGTACCGGTCGGTCAGTCAGTCCGGTCTAGGTCGAGTCTAGGCTAGTTTAGACTATAGATAGGATGGGCACAACGGTTCAGGGCTTTTTGGCAGTTGGTACCGAGCACATCGCTGCTGCGCAACGCGTGAACCGGAAGTGGTGACGGCTCAACGTGGAAGGAGACAGACATAGCCAGACCTTCGGAGCGCCAGCCATAGCTGGGACCTGCGCTGTACTCTGTCAGCACGCGGGGCTGTACAGAGGTCTCGGTTATTGAAGTCTGCTGGAGGCGAGAGAAGTTGGTGCCCTGCTGGACCCTCCTCCGGAGTGGGGTTCCAGGGTTGTGGCGCTGCAGCCATAGCTGCAGCAGCTTTCTCAGAGATCATCTTGTCAGGAGTGGTGGCGCTGCTGCAGACTTCCACCCGGGAAGTCTTTCGACACTTCGTCATCATCAGATACTGTGGCACTGGTCTTCTGCTTCATCCTCCGAGTGGCGCTTGGCCTCAGAGGCCTGTTTCAGGGTGGCGCTTCCCTTTGGAGGCTGTATCTGGGTGGCGCTTGATGTTTCAGGGACTCAGGGGTAGTGATAGCGGTTCATCAGGGTTGGGGAGTGAAGTGCTGCTCATCTCTGAGCAGCGCATCATAGTTCTGAGGTTATCCTGACAATCCGAGACTCTGAGTTTCATAAACAGTGTTGATACTGGGTTTGGAATATCATTGCTTCATTGTTTCTTGGATGTGATCTACTCGGCTTTCCTTTATGACTGGTTGTGAGGATTGAGTGGAGTGAATTGCACTTGCAGTGTACCCTGTCATATCGCATGGTCAAGTCTTTCGCTGTGTTTATCTCTCCCTGTGCGGTGTGATACTCCTATCCTCTCCCCTTCCTTCTGTGTATGGGCATACCTGGGAGTCTATGTGAGTGAGTGTTGGTCGTCAGACAACAGAACCAGAATCATAACACTATAGGCTATCTCTTACCTACAGCAGCTATGGCTGCCTTCTGCCTTCCCTACTAACTAGCGGCTATGGCCACGTCGTCTCCTTCACAGCCCACTTCTCCTTCGGGCACCTGAGACCTCCTTGCACAAGACGCTCAGGCAGCACTTCCGCACGGGTCACAGGCAGAATGAATCCATGACTGGCCGCTGCCTCTTGATTTTATACTTCGTTTGGTTGCTGGTCTGCCCCTTTCCACCGGGCCCAGGGTGCACACAGTCCCACATGGTACTTGCTGACTGGACAAAGTGCAACTGGGACTGGGTACCGCTGACTAGGCGAGGTTGGACTGCCCACTTGCCCACTTTCCTCTACCCTAACCTAAGGAATCCTTGAAAGGTCACTTCCGGGCCTTCCGGAAGTCTGTAGACTTGACCTTTCAGGACTGTAGCAGCTACGAACTTGACCTTTCAGGACTTTAGCAGCTACGACTTCTACACCGCTACGCCCCCTACTTGACAGACCTACGGTTCAAGACCCGACGACCACACTAACCTGCGACAGACAACAGACGACTACCAACACAGGTCACGGGTTCAAACACACATGGGTCGACTTGGTACTGTACACCGGTGAGGGCAAGGTCTAGGGATCGAGCCGTGGGAGCTGCGTCTGCTACTGCAAAGGTGAAAATCGTTTCAGTACATGGCCTAAGGCAACTGGAGAACCTGTTTTGAGCCTCTCCGGAAATTTAGGAGGCCAAGTGCGATAGATAAAATGAATCGGTGGCGGGCGGCCTCCGAAAGGGGCCCGCGGCTTATAGCTGAGATGTACTGGTGTTTTAAGGACAGCAATTACAGTAGAAGATGGAAACCGGGTTCAGCGTCCTCAAGAGACCCTGAGAGAGCAGCATTGATTGCTGCCTCGAAAGGGGGAATTTCTCCGTTATTGGCTGAGAGACCCTGAGAGAGTTGTTATGTACCCGATTGAGCTTCAATCCACAACGAATTCATACGTTCCCATTCACGCATACAATTGTAGAGTAGACCGGAAGGAGGCAAATCCACGCAAAGCCGAAGAGAAGATATGCACAGTGGATTGAAGCTCAAGTACACAGAGAATTGAAAAACGAATTTCAATTTTGGAATCCCTGGTCCTCCTCCAATCAATCCAGAGTACTTGTTCCAAGAATCTCAACCACGTTAACAAGGTCCACGGACAGATTATTTACAAAGTTTCATTCAAGTATCAGGGAGTCTTCTTCTTCCTCCCTCCTATTCAAGCTCTAGCTATGGTGCCCCAGCGCCCAACCCATCCGCCTGCAAATCGCCAGAACACCCGCCAAAACCCCAGCGCCCAGTCAGCAACCACTCACAAACACCTCGGCCGCAGGTAACGCTCAGCCAGCAGGGCGCTCCAGCTCCCAAGAGGAAGAAGAAGAACGGCCACTTCAATGATGATGAAGACCTCTGCCGCTTCGAAGAGGGTAAGTCACGGCTGCTTCGATGGCAGATATCAAACCCCAACAACACACACGAAGGGGCAACATCTCTTACAGCGCATGGGGGCCTGATGCCCTGCGCTGCCACCTAGGATGCTGGAAGGCCTCAGCTATGGGCCCCAGCCAACCATCATGTCATTGAAGAGCTGCGCTGCTTGGAGATTAACGCAGCTGCTGAAGATTCCTCCCCGTTTTCCCACTTCACCGTGAAGAGAAAAAAAATGACCTTCTGTACATTCCACGATAGTCCCCACAGCCTAGACTGCTGTGACCTACGACGGACCAACGAACAACTGGTCTACGATCCCTCTGTACCTAGACTGAAAGCTGCCCAAAAGGACTGTACCTAGACTGAAAGCTGGCCAAAAGGACGGACATCAGTCACGGCACATAAAAACGAGAACAAAAGCCCCCACAACTCTGCCCTCTGACCCTTTGTAGATTCCACGACAATCCCCACAGCCTAGACTGCTGTGACCTACAACGGACTAACGAACAACTAGTCTACAATCCCTCTGTGCCTAGACAGAAAGCTGGCCAAAAGGACGGACAGCACCTAAAAAGACGAGAACAAAAGTAACTACTGTCCTCACCCTTATTGAGGGACAGGGCTTGGGATCAAGTCCTGGCAGAACCAAACAATCAATAAGAAGGCAACGAAAACGCCAGGGATCATCGAATCCCAGCTAAGCCAAAATACAGAAAAAAAAGCAAGCCCTGGACATCAGCTCTAGCATTCAGGTTTATCCGACAGCACTCAGCTGAGAGGGGCTAGGAGCCAGGCGTCTCAGAGGATCAGAAGGTAGAGGACATAGGCTAACTTAGGCAGGGGTGAGGGGTGGTACATCCTTCTCTAGGGAAGTAATCAATGCCGTCCACTCAGGCCTCTCAGCCAGAATGGGGAGGAGCGTGCGAGAGTACTTTTTGTAATCAATTATGACTTGCCGGGGGAATAGGAACCGGACTGTTGCTCCCCAGAATGGCAGGAGCCAGAATCGAGAGGTTCTGTTTAAGAAAAAAAAAAAAAAAAGCAGGGCCAGGATCGATTCCTGGCACAGACACCATTACAACGGACATATCAAACTAGGGAGTGAGTTTACAACCCGATCAAACTGCAAGTTCATTGCAGAGTAGCATTGATCGCTCCCTCAAAAAGGAGGACTCACAACTGCTCCACTCCTGATCTTACGAGGTACTTGTTACGGCTGGGGTTTCTCGGTGCGATAACAGGTATAACACACCCATCTCAAAACCTATTGGGCGAATTAATAAATTGTGCCCAAAGCCTTCGGGCTCGGTACTGCATGCCCAACCTTTCCCCTGTGGGCACTGTGCACCTTGGCCCCGTGGCCAACGGGCCTGCTAGATCATGAATCTGGTGCAAAGATGGAGCCAGATTCATAGTCTGCTAGAAAGGGGCCAAGGGAGGTGTAGCGATCCCTAGAAAGTGGAGAGGCCCAAGAAGGGGGAGTGAAAAAAGATGGGCCTCCAAATCATGAATCTGGTGCAAAACAGTGCCAGAGTAGTAGTTCGGTAGAAAGAGACCCCAGGTGGGTAGAGGGGGGAGGGGGGAGGGGGGGGGGGGGGGGGGGGAAGGAAGAAGGAAAAAGGTTCCCCCGGGCGGTGGAGTGATCCATGAAGACGCTTAGTACCTATCGTGAGAAGTTCGGGCATGTAGTACCGATCCTGAAGACTTTGGCTGTAAACACTGTAAACAGCCCAATAGGTTTTCGAGGGTGGGGGTGTTCTTCTACCTGCTCTCCCTTTCTCGGTCACCGTGCCTCTCAGTTGCTTTTCTCAGTTATGGCAGGCTACCAAAATCATTGTGAAGCTATAGAGCTGCTGTAGGTGACGAGAGCTGTGTTCCTTGTTTTTATTTGTTTTCCCCCTTCTCTTATCCCTCCCTAGCACGGCCTCATCTGACTTGAATGAAAACTGTATGAAAATTTTGCGAGTCACATTTCACTTCCGTTGATGCAGACCGCATACTTACTTCTAGCTCCTGTTCCCCGCTGTGTTGTACCTCAATGCTTGTGGAGACTGGACATGCGTGCCAACTCTCCCACAACGGAAACATTAGCATCCTACTTTCCCCTTCTGGTATGAAATTCTTGTTGAATGACAGCATCCGATAGGATTTGAACCTGTGACCTTCCACTTACAAGGTTGTTGCTCAGTCCCGCTGAGATAAGAATGCACCTCATATATCTCTGCCGCGTTTTCGGGAGTGCTCTCTATTTTGCAGATGGTCCTAAATTCTCTTCTTTTTTTTTTTTCTTTTTTTTTTTTGTCCCTAATCCATAAAGCTGTGCGTTCCATGTCTACCTGCTGTTGAGCCTCGACCATCCTTCCTGCATATTGCCATTCAGACCATTTTATCTGCTGTTCTACCTTTCATCTTTTTTTTTTTGTTTTTTTTTTTTTTTTGGTTGTTCCTTTTATCTATTGCTTCCATACTTGCAACCGCACCGTGCGCCATACCGTCCGGTGCGCTGCCCGTGCACCGTGCCTTGGCAGTTTCCCTTTTTTTGTTTGTTTTTTTGCTGTTTTTGTAGATACAGAAGAGTGCGACTCCTAAGGAACTGGTCTTTTTTTAGTACAGTCATACAGATTTTCCTTTCCGTCCAATTGGGCATGAGAAATAGCCTGAAAAAGGTGGCTGGGACATCAGTCTTGACCTTTAGGTAGTGGCATTACCCTCCCACTAGTTTTTTTTTTTTTTTAACTTTTTTTTTTTTTTTTTCCCATCACGCAACAAATCTTTAAAGGGAATGCAGGTGACCGTTGACCCAACCATGCGACCCCTGTTTTTTTTTTTTTTTTAAGTGAATATTTTCCCCGTGCGCCGTACTGTGCGGGTCCGCTCATGCGCCAAACGTGCGGTATTTGCTGCATGGCGTCCGCTTGCATGTATGATTGTTTCCCTAACACCTCCTTTTCCATACTACCCACAGAGTCCTTGGCTCTCCTCGGAATTCGGTCTATGTCGGTCCCAAACTTTAACCAGTCTTTGGCGGCTTCCAGTCCTGTTACCTACAGTACTGAGTCCATAGGACCGTAGGCGCGTTCTTTCTTGCTGGAGGTGTCCAAAGCGTCTCTACGCCTTCTTTTCTTCTTTTTTTTTAATAAAAAAACAAAAAAATAAAACAGGTCCTTATGGCCCTGGCTCCAAAGCGTTTCTACACTTTCTTTCTTGCTGGAGCTGTCCACAGCGCTCCTACCCCCCGGCATACCGGGGAGATTCAGCCGCTGCGAAAGAAATGGCGAAAAAATCGGAGTCTACGAAGCCCTCCGTGCAATTCGCACTGCGTGCCTTCAATGGGCTTTGGCTTCGTTCTTGTGTTATACGCAAGAAGATGTACAAGTCATTTGTAATTACTAATTACCATGCAGTGCTTTAGACTGCGTGCCTTCGATGGGCTTTATTCTTCTTGACAGGGATGGCTATTTAGTATTTACTTAGCAGTGTTAGCACCATGGGCAGTACCATCTGATTTTCAACATTTTTTGTGAAAATTATCGTATCATACGATCGTTTATGTACATGTGCCTGCAGCTTGCAGGAGTTAACTGTTTTGCTTCTTATGCTTGTTGAGCCGTTCACACCTGATGTGTTTTTTTTTGTTTTTTGTTTTTTTTTTTTTTTTTTTTTTTTCCGCGTGGTTAGCAGCAAGTTTAGGGTTTAAGGGTTGTGGGCTCAAACTTTCAATGCAGAAGTTTCGATTCGGTAGTTTCATGATTGTGAATGACAAACACACACACACAAAACAAAAACAAAAAAAAAGTCTGTGAATGACAAGAATGGACCAAGAGGAGCGGTCTGCAGTTCTGATTATGGATCGCACCGTCGGGCATCTGCTTCGATGCTGGCGGGGACAGTTTCCTTAACGCAGTTTTTTTTTTTTGTTTTTCCTTGTATGTTCACTAGTTCCCCTGGTTGTCCTTTGACGTTCCTTCGAAGTAATCGTGCAAACATGTTGTTGTTCTTTAATGGTGGGTGGTGGGTTCTGGGTGCATGCTTGGCCTCAGTTCTTCAAGCCAATCGCTTCTTGGACGCAACGCTGACATCACTACGATCAGTTGTACCGATAGTGCACACAGGAGTAATGTGAAGGTGGGTGGCGTGTTCCCAGTTCTTCTAGCCGGTCGCTTCTTGGAGGCAACGCTGACATCACTACGATCTGGTGTATGGAAAGTGCACACAGGAGTAATGTGATGCAGTTATATTTTCTCTGTAATGAAATGAATGCTTGCATTCTTTGTCTAGTTTTAAATCAGGAGTCAAACTGGCAGCGAGCCGGATGCTCCCGATTAGGAAGCTACTCGGGAGATCCAAATGAAGGATCACAAAGAGTAAAGTAAAAAGGTCAGGCGAGGGAACGGGGAGTCGACCGAGAGGGAGAAAGGATTGGGGTAAGAAGGTAGGAATAGGAAGGAGGAGCTAAGTTAGAAATGCGGCGGAAATGCGGCGGAAATGCTGCGGAAATGGTGAATGGAAACCAGGCGAGAGTTGTCATCAAACAGGGTATTATACCTTTTTTCAAGTTTTTTGTTCATTTTCAGAATATTGTTGCATGCCCGTCAGGTTCCATGTGTGTGCCATTCTACAAGTGGGCAGTGAGGTGTGTATATGGAAGCGATGTGTTCTGTGGTGGCTTTAGGTAGGACTTTTGAGCCGTCTTCGCTGGTGATATGAACTTCCGTGTCTTTGACGGCCATTCGTATTTTGTTGTAGATCCTCGTGAGGGCCCGTTTGGGGCATCCGCCATGCATAACGAAAAGGCCATTTTATCCCAACGCCCCCGACTTACCTTGAAATCCTCGCTAAAGCGGCTAAACCCTTTTCTTGCGGACCGTGCACGTGATTTCAATCCGATGGCATCAATCCCGGATTGAAATCCGATGGGTGGACAATGTTTTGTGCCGGAGTAAATAGCCAACCCTTTTCTTGCGGACCGTGCACGTGAATTTCAAGCCGATGGCCCAGGTGGACAATGTTGAGTGCCGGAGGGAAAAGATGTGATGAGTAGTATGTACAGAAAGTCCACATGCAGCTCAGGACATTGCAGCATATGCGTAGTATGGCAGGCAGCTGGAACAGCCTCAGTTTTCATTTGTACGTAAGCGTCAAGAGAGTTGTGCTGCAACTGTGAGTGAGGGGAAGAGCAGACTGGGCGGAGCGGGGGATAGTCGTCACTGTGAGTGATTCAATGTTTTGAAACAAAATCTAAAGGGGGGGGGGGGGGGGGAGGGGAGGGGGGAAGAAGAGGGGGAGAGAAGGCTCCACAGCAAGGGGGTATGAGAACACGGACAGAAGGGGAGGTATTCCCAAAACAGAGGTTGACAGAGGGCATGGAAGGTAAGAGGTGGGGAGTATGGAGGGAGAGGTGGTGGGAAAGAATCATTGCATGGCAGGTAAGAGGAGAGGTGGGGAGTATAGAGGGAGAGGTGGTGGGAAAGAGAGAGAAATTCAGAAAGAGTGGTAGCAAGGGAAGTGGTCCTTGCACTCAGCCAGCTGTTCCTAACAGTTGCATACAGCTGGCGTCTTCTTCTTTTGATGATTGGCGTTGATCGATGATAGCGCAGCCAGTGGTGTCGTAGTGAGCTCAACCTTTCTCCTCAGCACTCTCTACCCTCTCCCCATGCTTGCTCATGGGTTTTCAGTCCAACCTTTCCCTTAGCAGTTGCTACCGCAGTCGCTACCTTCTCCCAATGCTTGCTCATGGGGTTTCACTTCAACCTTTCTGCTCAGCAGTCTCTACCTTCTCCGGGTTCTCCCCATGCTTGCTCATTGATTTTCAGTTGGACTTCAGTTTTCCAGTGCCACTGTCTTCCCTCGAACATAACACGTCCTCATAATGAATGTATGCAAGCTATGTTTCCGGTACAGTACATCCATAATGAGGGTGCGTTGTCTTTCGGCGAAGACAGTACTCCAGTGTCTTATTCAAACAAGGTATGACTCCTTCACCTCCTGTCACATTATAAACAGAAGACCCTAGTGAGGGTTTGTTTTCTGCAAGCATATGAGTGCTGGAGAGAGAGAGAGAGAGAGAGAGAGAGAGAGAGAGAGAGAGAGAGAGAGAGAGAGGAAGGAATTGTGTATGGTTTCAGTGTGATGTATTGGCATGACTTGACTCCAAGGCAGTCCATCAGTATTATGTGGATGACAGTGATGACGACTCCCTGTGCGTTAAGATCTCGCGTACATGCCGATCGCAATTTATGTTCATGTTTGCAAATTTGTGAATCTACCCCTGTTCTACCATTTCCCCTTTGCGCACTGTAGTTCCTGTATTTGGCCCAGGTTCATTGCACACAGCAAATAGAGTGACAGAAATGGGATCTTGACGGGGGCGCAGGAGTAGGTGTTATGTACTCTTTCAGTCTGCTGTGATGGCATGACTTGAGCCCCAGCCAGTCGATCAGTATTAAATGTATGTGTGAAGACCTCGTGTACACGCCGATCGCAATTGACATTCATGTTTGCAAACTCGTGTCTGTACCCTTGTTCTCTTGGGAGTAGGGATGCGCCGGGGAAAGTAATGAATGACAAGTCAGGGTGGGAGGGAAGTCCCATAGGCTTATTTTGTGGATGCATAGGGGCCTGTATAGAAAATCATCTGGATGATCAAATGGCCAACTGCTGAAGGGCATGTCATATGCCTGGTGGCTAGCCTCTACAACAACCTGGACTTCAACAAAAAAAAAAGTATAAAAGGGGGAGGGATTAACAAAAAAAAAAAAAAAAAAAAAAGGTGTTCCACTGTTCCTGTCTTTGCCGCAGCTTTATTGAACTCTGCAAACAGACTGACAGAAATGGGATCTTGCGGATCCGGCATTTCCTACCGCTTGTTCCAAATTATGCTAAACTGGGATGGTTCATTTGCGTAGAGGTGTTCCATGACATGAAGCTTCATGGAACCCCTGTTAAGAAAATGAGCCGGCATTTTCTACCGCCAGTTCCGAATTATGCTAACTGGGATGGTTCATTTGCTTAGAGGGGTTCCATGGCTTCATTCTCATAAGAGCTGTGAAAGGAAAGGACCCGCGGAATGAGAATGGAACACTATGATGCGGAACATTAACCCAAACCACACACAACTGAAAAAAACGATATATAGGACCCTCGAGTGTTCGCGATTGTGCCCAAAGTCTCATCATTGCAGAAATTTATCTCAAAGGTATGTGTCATATGTGGAGTTCTCTGCAGGAGGAGACATGGTTGGAAGAGAGGATGAAAATTATGTGAGTACCAAAAATTAATTATTTTGGATATTCAATGATTTCCAACACACACGCACACACGCACACAGAGAGAGAGAGAGAGAGAGAGAGAGAGAGAGAGAGAGAGAGAGAGAGAGAGAGAGAGAGAGAGAGAGAGAGAGAGATGAAAAGAGGGGGAAATAGCGAAGGGAGGAGAGCACTCTTTTGGGTGGCCTCTTCAGGAGCTTTGGGGGAAGGCAATCCTCCTTTTTTTCTGAGAATTGCCTTCCTGGTGGCCGCAAGAAGCAGAGAACTGAGGTGTTCAATGCCGTCCTCGATCCATCGTACCATCTGTTCATCCTTGATTGGGGGGAGGGGAAAGGGAGGGGCAATTAGGGTAAGGAGGGTGAAGGGGTGAAGAGAGTGACAGTGCAGGGAGGAGGGGGCGATGAGCGGTTACGGCGTGGGAATGTGGGCGGTGTCGCAGCTAGGATGAAGTGCAAATCAGATAAGATTGACTAGTGTGTCATAGACGGCAGAAGCTTTATCATTCGTCCGTCGGATGCTTGAAGCCAGAGATCATTCAGTGGCAAAATGCACGGCCATGGATCCATTGCAGCCCTTGAAGGATACTCGTTGGTCCCATCCTCTTGACAGGAGCCAAGATTCGGAGGGGGTGGTGAGGAATGTAGGTTAGATAAGGGGGTTAACAGAACCCCAAAATTTTGGGAATTTTTTGGGGTCTTTATAGCAATCCTCCCACGCCTTTTAAACCATCACTCCTCCGCCAGCCCCGAAATAGCCCTCCCTGTGAGTTTGGGCGGGTTTTGAGGGAGGACAGGGACCAGAGGCCGAAACGGCGGGCCTAGTTGAGCGTTTTTTTGCGGCCAGAAGAATTCACAGAATTTGAAAGCGGCAACTTTGGTGATTTTTTGCGGCCAGAAGAATTCATAGAAAATTCTGAAAATTTGAGCGTTGATAGATTAGGTCGTGATATTTCCAGGAAAAATATCAGAAAAATAAATAAAATAAATTTGACCGCAAAACAATTGCTGCACTGATTCGTTGCATGTTCCAGTTTTGCCACAGTGCCGTTTGTAGGCCAACTCGAACTTTTGCGATTTTTCCTGCTCCAAAGAAAGTGTCATAGACTCTGAAAATTAGAGCATCGGTAGATTTGCTTGTGATCGTTACAGAAAAATACATATTTTTTTAATGAGAAAATGCTTAAACCACGAAATAAATTGCGAAGGCATTTCAACACATTTTCAATTTTTGTGTTTCCGTCGGTTCTCCACACTGTACTACCGGTGGCAGATTGATCACCGCTGCCTCCCACTAAATGATTGGCTCATTGATAGGAACGACCTAGAACAGAGGGGCCTGCCAGTACCATGGTGTGGACTTTGCCTATCTTCTTCTTCTTTTTCTTTTTTTTTTTTTTCTTTTTTTTTTTTT